ACCTGTCTAACTGAAGGACTATGTGTGTTCATTCATATAATGTAGATACAAACAAGGAGGAAATAAAATATAAATAATAAAAGACGATTTGTTTAACTTGTTTTTTGAAAAATATGACAATCTGTTTCAAAGAACATTTATTATATTGTTCAGAAATCACATTCACACTCTATGTACCATAAATTATGCAGAAAAATAAGTTAGGTACAATTAATAAGAATAAAATAACCTAAAAATATATACATGCTATTCACAATCAGGCGAGAGAACTACGAACTAGACTTGTTCCTCCATCTGTGGAGGGAAAAGCACGACTCCATGGGACCTCTGTACTTCTCTCTCAACCGCTTCACTGGGACTAAACGCTGTGGAGATTGAGTGAGAGTGCTTTAGCCAAATACATTCACAAACTCCAATATTTACAAACTATAAAATATCTCGGGGCCTCTGGCGTTTTAACCTTCTTGGAGGATTTTAGGGATGGGTGGTGCTGGATTATGCAAAGGGATTCGGATGATAGGTAAGGTTCTGGTGAAATTAGGAGAATTTTTCTGGGAAAAGGTCTAGGACAAATGAGCTATTAAGGTCATGGTTTTGTTGGTTGCATAGAAAGGAGCATCCACTTTGGTTCGGCTATCTACTTTGGAATGAGCTATTATTCAAAATTGTATCTTTATGCGAAGTCCTGTTGGAAAGGCGAAACGGGTAAATAGTGTCGAAAACCAAATGATAACAAGTTTTATTAATATCTCAGAAATTATAAATCAGACCTGCATACTGTGAGCGAGGAAATTGTTCATATTTTAAATTATATCTCAACGCGACGCCGTGTTAGAGAGGCGAAAACGGAAAAAAATTGTGCCGAAAACCAAATTATTACTAGTTTTATGGAAGATATGGATTAAAATATCTCAGAAGCTATGAATCAGACCTACATACTGTAAGCGAGGGAAATGTTCAGCATTTCATCCTATCTATAATGAGCTATTATTTATAATTCATATTATTAATCTCGGCTTATTGGTTTTTCACTTCTACCATGTGGTCTAAATTGCACACCCTATTTTTTTTATTTATCAAATTAACTTTTTATTGAATAATTGCTCATTAAATGGAAAGTTGCCTCATGAACAAACAAACAAAACAGGACAATACGTAAAGAGGTGGAGTGATAACCCATTGAAAGTGATATATCAACAGGGGAGTTCGGAATTAGAGGAAATTTTATCGTGTTCCATTTCAACAAGGAGACAATGGAACTTAGTGAAAAATGGTCCGACATTTTCCATTGGTCCTCATTCCTGCGTTGGAATAATAGCTCTCGATAATAATTTATAACGGCCCACGTCTCGTCCGTGCCGCTGGGCATCTCTTTGTCTGTATCTAGGTGCTGGTCCTAGCTAGCCAATGGCGGGATAGAGGCCAATGTTCATTAGGTTATTACTCATTATAATATTTTATAAAATCAGAAGGTTATGCAGTCTCTTGATTAGATAATGTTTGGATGCGAATCTTCCCTTATAAGATTTTTTTTTATCTAAACTACAAAGCCTAACATACAAGTAACAGTGTTTTGGCAATTCAACCATGACGAGGGCAGAAAAAAACAAGATCACAGATACCCAGGAAAAAAAAAATCTATTAACATCTCATTAGGCCATCCTACAACATATTGAAGGTTGACAGCGTAATCTGTAAGTATAAGCTGATCCCAGAATAGTTTGACATTACTAGTGTTGCCCAAAATCGGTCTTGGTCTTGCACTTTGCCAAGTACAAGACCAAGGCCGCCTAACTGTTGCAAGACCAAGACCAGGACTGGTAAAAAAAATAGATTTTTTAAATAAAAATTAAGACAAAATATTTACTAATACTTGACAATCTTAGTTATTATATGTTAATAATTGGTATAATCAATATACTTTTGCATTTAACTCCTCTAATTTTTCATTCGGGGTTAGTTAGGTTTCTCCAATCTTAAAAATGACAGTAATAGATCTATAGCAATAAGCTAATAAGTAACTGCGAGACTCTTGCACAAGACTAATACCATGACCAAGAATGAGTTTGCAAGACCAAGACTCGTATCGGTCTCACATTTGGGCAACACTACACATTACGCTAGGAGATGATTGATTCAGGATGATACTTGTAATACGGACCGTGGTTATCCCTCAGTTCCAACTTATTATTATTAAGTCACATCAGTCCAAGTAACCAAGTCTCGCATAAAATATGTGTGTTTTGTGTACGGGCGTGTAATATCTACTTATTTATTAGCCCGCTCCGTCTCCTACTGGAATTCTTTGCCACATAACATCCGTCATGTCTCTTCCCTGTCCACTTTCAAATACCTCCTTTTCCAATATCTCCTTGCATCCCAAACAGACGATTCGCAACCATAAATTTCATTTTATGAACTGAATTTGTGATAAGTAAATGGTGGTGCCTATTGTTTATCTTTGTCACCCAGTTTGACTATTATTTTTACTATTTATTTGTTTTTCTCTTTGTCTCAGGTTGTGCTTTTTCTTTCGGGTATATGCTTTTATATTATATACTTTTTGTTGGTACACAGAGAACCAATATAAGTATACATAGTTAAGACCCTTTTTTCCATTACACCACAAGTAATCCTACAATTTTATTTTATCTTAATGTCTGCATATTATTATATAAACCACGGTAGATATTATTAAATTTCGTATTAAGTTATTTCTCTGTTAAATAGCCTATTGTCTATGAATTGCGTAGTTATGTATATGTATGGATATGTAATTTCTTTTCTTTTTTCCATCACAATAATAAGTAATTTTGAGAAGATATTATGTTTATATATATATATATATATATATATATATATTTTTTTTTTTTTTTTTTGTTAATTTTTTAGTGGTTACATACTACTTTTTAAATAACGTATATAATGTTAGAATGTTTATAAGTTAGTTTTTGGCCAGGTTTGTATTTTATTGTTGTATTAATTCATCATTGTTATTCTAAGGAGACTTAGTCCCAGAATAAAGTTTAATTTTCTATTCTATTATTTAATGGAAAACAAAAAATCGCATAGTATTTACGTAAAATTCCGTGAGAAATATATGGAATAATCTTTAACTAATTTTTACAAATTTTGTTGAATGGGTCTCATCCGCTAAAGTCATTCAGTTTATCCTCGTCGTTTTTGGCCGCCATCCTTCAAAGCGTCCTCCAATATTGGAATGCTCCGGCCATGTTGATCGAACTGATCTAACTCCCTCCGCGATATAAGTTTGTAGAGCTGTAGAGGGTAGATAAGACAGGTCCCTAGAGCGTAGAGATAGAGCAAGGACCTAGAGTAGAGCTAATTAATAACCTGTCTGTACACACACACACACACTAATACATAGAAAGCCCTGATACATGGTTCCCTATAAGGTCCTCTATAAATTCTCCCTAAATGGGCCTCATTATCCCTTATTGCTCCAACTTTTTAGCCCTTCGTCGGCTCTGATTGTTGTTCTATCATTATCGGCTGATATCCAGCATCAGGATCCTCCGGGGGATCAATTGACAGGAAGATAGATTCAACGAGCATTAAATTCTAACATGTTGTATCATATGGGGCATCCGCTACGTTATAAGCAATATTTAAAAAAAAAATTGTTAATTTTGTGTGCTTTAAGGAACTTTAATTTCTGTTTAAAATAATTATAAAACTATCTTCTATGTATTTTATTTGATACTACAATTAGGATAAGATCACCAGTGATGGACATAGATAAGGAATTACTTAAACTTTTAAATAACTATTTCGTTGAAATATGTTATATAGATAAATTTAATGGGCATCGAGAAGACGACTTTTTTGGAATTTCATTGAAATCTCAGGTTTTTCGGTCCCCATCTTAAAAAGAAAAGGCAGATAGAAATGTGGATGGAAGAGGATCATCCTCGGGTGACCTCTAATTTTAAATCCAAATATTTTAGTTCTACCAATAGGTAGTTTCTCTTCATGTCATGTCATGTCATGTTACCAATATCACATTTACTTATTGTATTTTCCATGTAATACAGTTGTAAATCTCAATAAAATACAATTTAAAAAAAAATATCCAAATTTGAAAAAAATCGGTCCAGTAGCTTCTGAGAAAATACGCTGACGGCGGACGGACAAAAAAAAATGTATTCGTTTTTCGAATTCTACGTATCCTGAAACGTGAAACCTCAAATTTTTAAAGGCGGTTAAGTTTTTGAATTTTTCGTTCGATCACAATAGTTCATTATTTAAAATAATAAACAAAAAAATTTAATTAGATTTTCTTCTGCCTTATTAATTTCCTGTGTAAATTCCTTGAATGAATATATTCCTGTATTTTATCATTAGAAAAGTTGAATCTAATCATAGCTCTTTATTTTTGTTCTTGTTTCTTGATCGAGTTTCTTCAGTCTGGATCTAACCACGGTTGCTTGGCGTTCTATTTAGGTTTCTTCGGATTTAAAGAAAAATAAAATAGTCCCGCTGTGGTCATACTTTCCTGCATACATGTGATGATGTTCTCATATTACACTTATCTGTTTTGAGCTGAAGTATATTTTATTAGGTTTCGGTAAAAACTTTTTCCTTTAATAGAACTTATATAGTTTAGATTGAGAATTTTTCTTATGTACTCCATAAAATAGGTGTGGGAAGTTATACTCGAGACTTTTGTAATTATTTACTTAATGCTAGTTAAGACCGTTTGTTCAATAACCGTTGATAAGAAGGAGGATATACGACGTGAAGACAGGAGGAATACATACAGATAAGGGATAGGTCACGCGAAGACACAGGCCATTGGACAGCAGACATCGCTGAATTAATAAACACTCCAATCCCGTAGTAGGGGAGGGGCAATATTTCAGATAGAGATAGCAGGGTCCGTTCTGAACCGGGTGGGATTCGGGTAAGTAAAGTTGTAGAGAAAAAAAATGGGAAACTAAACAGTAAGCAAAGAAAAGGAGTGGACCTCGGGACCTTGCATGCGGACTTTTTCAGCCAGCCATCATACTCCGGGAGATAGTTATCATCGACATGAGCTCCTCCGGAAGGGAAACATCGTCCGCCGGCATAACGGACGATCTAGGTACACGGAAGGGGTACAAGGATGTTACTGAATTTTTTTAACAAAGCGTTTTAACAGGGGTGCTATAAACAGTTTTAATTCTACAAGAGATTTGTTGATACTATGCTAAAAAAATTCTAAAAAACTTACATTATAAAATAGAATAGATATATTATACTTTTCTAAGATAAACATATGACAATGAAATTTTAGAACATTAAATCACTAAGAGCATACATGATTTTTGCCATAGTAAAATGAGAAAACGCGGCGCTTGATGTAACCGTATTTGATATTTAAAAAAGTTTGTGTCATTTTGGTTCACTGTGTATTTGTATCGATAAATAAGCATCATCGGAAATTTACTTATTGACTAACTGGGCGTGGACTAAGTCTTCCAAACCAAGAGTCGATCCACGGTTAAGATAATCGAATGAATAACCTATCACAGCTGGACTTGAACCCGGCGTCTAAGACTTAAGAACACAATGACTTACTCGCTGAGTTACTCAGTTCTCCTAACCTTATTTTTATTTATATATTCATTTGAAACTCTGCCTTGCTTATTAGGCAATACAGATCTTAAGTAACAGCGGGTAGTTAGTTACGCATGCTTGTTTTACAATTCAAATCAAACCAATTTTTTTCTTGCTGTACACACAGCCTGCTCTCCAAATCTATTTTATATGCACATGCACATGTGCACAGGTAAATGCACATTTGCTTCCTACTAGGATCGTAAGATAATTTGTTAACAAAATCGAGAAAAAAGTGGCCTTAAAAAATATTGAGCTGTTCGGCGTGATATACACTCTCAACGGCTCAATATTTTTGAAGGTCATGTTTTTTTCTCGATTTTGTTATCAAATTATCTTACGATCGAATTAGAAAGCGAATCGATTTTTACGAGTTTTAGTGCTTAATTAAATAGACAAAGTTTGCTCTCCTCGAGATTAAAAACGCTCCAATTCCAAGAGTTTTCGTCAATAAAATGGTTGTAAGTTAATGTCAGATGAAACTATTTACGAAGTTTCTGGCGGATGTTAATAATTCGACAAAAAAGGAGTCTGTACCACGGACTATAAAGGAGAGAATTTCGTCAAATCTATTTTTTGTTTTTTTATTTATTTAGACATATAATATTCTGTCACGGGGACAGTAATTATATTGATAAATGAACACATTCACACCGTATATACAAAAACAAAAGTAAAATAATAACTAAATAATAATAAATAAAAACTATATACAATAAAAAAATAAAATAACCTTAATATAAGTAAATTAAAAACATAAAAATACAGTCATACCTATATACAATACATACAATCAGGCGGGGAAATCAAATCCCTGCGCTACTCTCTCACTCGCCTCACTGGTGCTAAAGCCGGTGGAGTTTGAGCGAGAGCGCTATCTATTGATGTCAATAGAGCTTATTATTATTATTATAATCTTATTGCCGCCTCTAATGATGAAATGGTTTCTCACCTATTGTATAAATAAACAATTACAATATATACCCACTTCTAGGTTTTATCGTTATTTATTTTTTTAATCTAGTATTATAATAATCATATTCATTATAATCCTAATGATGATACACTAAATTCCCTCTTGCGATGTTCTGATTCCTTGAGACAAGATTTATTCTCCCCTGACCCACCATCAGGCGAAAGGAAAGGCCCGTCGTCCCGCCGGACACTACGGGCCGCATCCGGACTGTTAAATATCACAGAGACAAAGCGGAACTGTATAAACCCCATGAGATATGCCCTCCCCCCGACACAGAATCAATAAGGGACATAAAGGGACAGATAAGGAAGCAACTATAAGAAGAAATAAACGGGAGGGGGGGGGGAGCGAGTAGGCGCTCGGAATACTAAATCGTAGAATCAATCCTGCCCCCCTCTAACCCTACCTCTCTCCCCCCCCCCCTAGGATACCTCTTCCCTGCCTTATAAAGTCAGGAGTTATACGAGGCCTTGGGTATGTGTCCAACAGTTTCGCACAATATGTCGGCACGCTACTTAACCGCTAGTTCCTTAGTTATATTTACAGCGCCTCTTTACGAGTTGGAGGTAGTCCATGACATGGGGATCAGCTGGTCGTGGAATTAATGAAGAGAATATTCTGGCCTTGTAGTGACTCCGATGCACGGACGTCCTTGTAGATGAATAGTTCGAGTCACTTGAGTAGAAGCCTCTTAGATTATGTTAATTGTTTTCGGTGACGGTCATAAATTATATATTGAAGAAAGTTAGTCTAATGTTCTACATATCATGAGTGATAAATATTCAGGACGCGGTCTATTTAAAAACAATATATATATTTTTTTATTTTTGCCAACGTTTCAACCCAAACATGTGGGTCATCTTCAGCGCTGAAAATTTTTTTAAGATACAATCAGTGATATAATTTTATACGATCGATAATGGTAAATAATAAACTATAGTGATTGATGGTACATGAATCTTAACTAATATTGCAATACATATATTAAAAATGAAATATGTAAATAGTTATACAAACTAAAAATAAAAAAAATAATGTATATAATCCATTTATAAAAATAATTAGTATTTTCTCTTACTAACCGTGGTTTGAGCACTTAGGGTGTTCAAGTACTGACACATTTGGTAGGTAAGTGCTCAAACCACGGTTAGCAAGAGAAAATATTACAGATTTGTATAAATGGATTATAGTTTGTATAACTATTTACATATTTCATTTTTAATATGTTTATTGCGATATTAGTTAAGATTCATGTACCATCAATCACTATAGTTTATTATTTACCATTATCGATCATTATAATATTATATCTCTGATTGTATCTTAAAAAAAATTTCAGCCCTGATGATGACCCACATGTTTGGGTTGAAACGTTGGCATAAATAAAAAAATAATTTTTTTTTTAAAAAGACTGCATCCTGAATATTTATCACCCATTATAAATTATATACATAGATCTTATAAATAATGTTCGTAAAAATTTCAATTAGGACTTCATTTAGCCACTTTAAAACATAAAAACAAAAACAAAAGTTGTCTGGCGGCTTTATGAAAATTTTACTAACTTTGACATGGCTCTACTTTTTCATAAGAAAATTAACATGCATTTAAGTCTTTATAATATACACGAAATGGCACAAACCAGATGTACGTAAATAATTTGGTAGATAAAAAATAATAACTTTTAGGGAGTTTTTATTTATTTGTTCATTATGAAGACGTGAAATCAGGGAGGGGGTAGCTCAGTGGGTGAGCACTGACTTCCAGAGCTCAAGGTCCCAGATTCGAATCCGGCTAACGTCTAGTAATTTTTCATCAGCCGTGGATCGACCTTGGGGCCGATTGACCTTCCTAGGACAAACCCAGCCTCTATAAAGTGGTACTCTTAATTAAATAATTAATTAAGAGGGAAAACCTGGCGGTTGAGAGTGATATTGGCCCGTCACCTTCTTCACATAGTACTGAACCCAAGACCCTTCATGGGTTGTTAGTGGTACAGATTTTTGTTTTTTTTAAACAATAATCTAAGCATATTAATCAATTTATGAATAACACAATTTTTTGCATATGAACCTTTATTTATTTTCTGTATTTTTTATCTCCCTTCTCATTCCTCTCAAATTTCTTCAATAATTTAAAGTGGATATGAATTTTCTCTTATCTCGTTTGTTCATGTATAAAAATAATTTTAAAATATTCAAAAAAGTTTTTGACTTTAAAAATAAATCATTTTTAATGTTCTCATCAATTTATTTTTTTGTTTAGACTTTTTTATAGGCAAATTAGTAAATATATATATTATTAGTAAAAATACAAATTTCAATTAGCTGTATCTTTGCTAGAATTGTCCAATTTCGATATATTTTTTTTTCCTTTTGAAGGGAATTTAGTTAATTAGTATATTGATGGGCATAGCCATTGGAGAAATGTGTAATTTTTTTGTTATTCGCAAATAAAGTTTGTTTTCTTTCATGACTTGTTTTCCTGAATTTTCGGGGTGATTGGACTATTTTGCCCGTCTGAAGGAGAAGGAAGCCTTCGAAATTGGTGGCTCAATCTTGAGATTTGGTGAAGAATTAACGATGATATGGCTTGCCGATCAAAAACACCATCGATAAATAATATAAACTCCTCCTATCTCGATCATGAATGAGACATGTATTCAATGACACTACTACAATTAACGTAAGGTTGTACGGATGCGAACCCTATGCCTTGAGTTATCTCGAAAATAGTCCGTTTTTGGGCTTAAAAACGTAGGATTCGATAATTCCGAAGGAACTATCCGGGTCTTGCTGTACGCATCCAAATCTTCAAGATCCAATTTGTCCCGTATCGATCTACAGACCTACCACCGTTCCAATATTGAATCCTAGCAAAATGTTTGTATCGACTTTATTTATTTTAGAAAGAACAACAAAAGTGGAGAATACGATTCGCTAACCCCCCGTGAAATTCTGAATCCAGCGGTACCCTATTCATGGTATTTAAGCTTATATGGCAGGAGCTTATATTTGATACAAAACTGATTTCGAGCTTTACTGTAATAATATATGTGGGGATGCTGTAACAAATGCATGCCTGTGTTAAAAAAATGAACTGTTGCTTGTTGAGAATTTGAATTCTATAAAAAAATAAAATAAATAAATACAAGTGGATAATCCAGGAAAGAGACAACTGTAACAATATTTATCGGTGCTGACTGTAGAAGATGAGGAGGGAGAGGGGCAGATAGCCAGAGGTGTCGAGTTCACCTTTGATAAGATCAGACTGTACCATAGCAGGACCGGGGGCTATATAGGCCTACCTCCTGGAGCCGATGTTTATCGCCGTCTGCAACCTCCCTTCTTTCTTATCATTGCTTTCCGTTCCTCAGGTTTCTTCTTCTACTAACTGCTAGTTTTTGTATTTGGCGTTAAATAAAATTTTAATTATGGTTTCGAAAATTCTTTCCATAACTGTAATTTTTGTCACTTCCTTACCAATCAAAATCTTCCTCATTTTCCCCCAGTTTGATTATGGCTACCTCGTATTATGACTAACTTTGCAGGTCTTTATCAGGGCTACAAAAGATACAAAATATTAAAAGTACATGTGAAAATAAAATATATGAATATAAGTAGATATAAAATAAGAAGAAGTTGTCTGTTAAAGAAATAAAAAGATGTTATCAGAGATATAGTGGGTGACAATGTAGTTTCTTTATCAGACACCTTCTTCTTATTTTATATCTACTCATATTAATTTATTTTATTTTCACCTTGTACCTTTTATATTTTGTATCTTTTGTAGCCCTGATCAAGACCTGCAAAGTGGATCGAAACGTCCTCGAAACAATTAAATAATACTATTTCTATAATTTAATATTTATTTGACCGCACCCCTCCCCTCCCCCGATCAACTCCTCATATTATATCACGGTCAACCATCTCTACATCATAATTAATTGTTTCATTAGATTCGTCTTAAGAGTCCTCAGTCGCTCCCACGAATCCCGTTGGTATGCCGTGTTGAGTGAGTATATCCAGTTTTCCGGCGGCAATATTTCCTAGGTGTATTTCTTTTCGGGACCCTTTAAAACAAAAACAAAAACAAAAAAACCTTTTTAACTTTTTAATTCTTGTTCTTTTGTCCAATTCTACTTTTCTACCGTTTTTGAGGAAAAACATGTGTTATTTTTTTTATGGTGATCAAGTTTCGGGTCTAAATCGGACCAGTTTCAGCAAATTTATATTATATTCAATTTTATACTCTGAATGGCCAAATGATAAATAAATGTCACTTCTTTTGTTCATTATAATTGTTCTAGGAACAACCCCTGAAACACAGAAAATAACAAATTAAAACAATTGTTTAATTCAGAACTTCACCACCATTTTATGGCCTCCATCTTGCAGCAAACCATTCCTGTATAGTTAATCGGTTCATTTGGTGAAGTGTGCACACAGTAAGGTATTCTCTTAAGAAATGACAAGAAAAGCAAATATGAGTTGCTGAACTTCTAGAGCACAGCCTGGTGGAGGAAATATGGGGAGGAAGAAGAGGTGGCCAAAACCATGAAGCTCGATTTCAGACAGCAAGATTGGTAACCGATTTCAACCAAGCATTAATAACTTCTAATAAGAAAATATCAAACTAAAACTGTAATTTCGCAATCGGCAATATGTAATTAATCTGTAAAGAACCACAAAATTATGCAAAGGCACAAATTTCAGTTATTTTATTTTGTTCAATTATATGCAATATAATCATGTTCTTAATATTTTGTTTAATTTAATCAAGCATCAAATCTCAGTGATCCGATCTCATACAGTCCACATCGATTCGATCAGCAGCGCACACAATTCACTTACAGATCATTGGGTAATATTTGGCTCACACCGATTTCCCGTGATTGAACAATAATTATTCGTTAGTTAAAGGACTAACCAGAATAAAATTTAGTTTTCTTTCTTTTCAAATTCAAAGCAATATTTTTTTTATTACTGAATTTGGTAATATGTTATAAAAAATCTTATCGTATCCTGCAACTTTTATTGTTTACAAAAATTCTCGAAATGGACTGTTTTTAATCTCGGGATCTATAAACTTTGTTTATTTAATAATGTACTAAAACTAATGAACACTCATTTGCTTTCGACTTGAATCATTAGGTAATTGTAAATTTGAGAAAAGCGATGATTTAAAAAATATTGAGCCGTTCGGCTTGATCTCCACTCCAAAAATGTTTAAACGATAACAGTTTTATATAGACTAAACGACTAAATATTATGTTGGCCACCTCT